TGACGGATGGAGAGGAGGGGGCTGCTGTGACAGCTGCTGCATTGCCTGGTGGCAGTGGCCGTCGGTTTGGTCCTCCTGGCTACTTGGCTTTGGTCTCGGGCTTGTACCGTGCCAGAGATGAAAGTCCTTCAGAGAAGGGACATGAGAGGTCCTGTGTCTGAGCTGGAGGTGGTGACAGGTCGGGAGCGAGCGGGAGTCCTGTGGTGCTGTGCAAAGCTGCCCTGCTCCCAGCCAGGACCTGCAGGGCCTTGGCCATGTCCTCGCACCAGTGCACTTTGGACTTCTGCTCTGGTTTCTCTTTGGCCACCGCTAGCTTGCTTTGGGAACAAAAGACCTCTTGATTGTGGGAAGGACTCCATGTGCGGTCTGTCGAACCAGCACGGGGTTTAATTTGTAAGGTTTGTTCTGTATTTTTCCTTTTTTTTTGAAAAAAAAAAGAGGATACTCTGTCTTTGCCATTTTTAGGAACTTCTCCCTACTGCTGCGAGGGACTTCTGTGCCAATAATAGAAACGTGGTCGATCCCATTAAAATGCAGAAAGCATTTGAGTTTAATTTTCATAAACATATAAAATACCGCGTTCTTGTCCCAGTCTGAGCAGTTCTCTTGACTGAGTTTCTCGCAGTGGTGTCGAATGTATTTGTGGTCCCGTTTTTTCTCCTTCCAGACACAAGTATCTGGAAACATTGGCCTGACCCTAGGAATAGCTGTCTTCAGCTTCTTGACTGTTCCCTGCCATGCCCAACGTGAAATAGTGACTTTACAGCCCTTTGCGTGGATGAACTGATACCAAATGAGAAGCTGTGAGAAATTAAGACATTAATGATGCGGTTTCTTTCTCTCTCGTTTTTGGTCCTTTCTTGGCCTCCAGTGGCCCACACGTGGTGGTTGGCAGAATATGGGAACACAGGTTGCTCATACCGTGTCCTGGAGTTGCCTTTGCGTGGGACTTCTCTAAATCTGTAAACGAAAACCAGAACTCTGCTTGACTGCTAAAAATCTGAGTGTAATTGGGGGAAAAAGAAGAAGACCATGGCTATTTTGGACAGAGAGAATGTACAGCAGTGGAGTTTATTTAGGGTCAGGAGTAGTGCTTCTCACCTCTGATTTTGCTGGAGACCATGAGATGGAAGCAGCTCTGCTCTTCTGAGTGTGTTTTGTTTTATGTGAAGGGGGGTGATCTTCATCCAGTTTCTGTGTGGAGGATTCTGCTTAGTGAAAAGTGTGGGTAACTCAAAGCATCCATCCTCTCATTGCTATTCTGAGCAGATCACTGGGCATCGCTTTCCTGGCATGGTCACTTCTGCTCCAACATTGCCAGTCTGGCATTCTCCACCTCTCTGGATCTTCAGGCAGCAAAGCAGGAACGTGTTGGGATTTGTCACAGCAAAGCTGATCAGATGTTGTCTGATGATCAGCTCGGATGGGGTCTTTGAAGCACCTCCTGGCCACCACCCCCGCTGTGTGTGCTTTGCCAGCACGAGTGTCCTCTGCAGGGGAAGGCAGGAGAGGTCTGGAGCCAAGAAGCAGGAGGTTGCTTGGATGGATGCTGGGCTGTAAGCGGTTGTAGAGAAACCTGCTTGATGCTGTTTCTCGTGCAGGGAGCGGGGAGAGCAGGAGGAACCCATCCAGCGTGGAGGGGGAAGAAAGTGGCACATGGCAGGAGTGTTAATGGCAATCGGCTGTGGCTGTGTAGCCCACGGAGGTGGCTTAGAGCTGCACTGGGGCATGGGGTGGCAGGGCTGGAGGTGACTCTGCCTGTTCTGCAGGAGAGACCTTCATCTGAGGTTTTCCTTGGACTGGGTTTTTCTCAGCAGCGAAGTTGCTGGAGCTTGATCTGCAGCGTTTTGAGAGGTCCTCTGATGCTGGGTGGATCTGTGAACCTCGGGTTTAAATGGATCACTGCAAGTTTTTGTTCCTGTTTGGCTTTGATAGGAGGCTGTTGTGCCCCAAACAGTCTCGCACCCACTCGCCCCACTCCCCGGTCTTTGGCCTTTGCCTTTACTTGAATCTGCAGAGAGGTGTCGGGTGCTGGTTGTAACCTGGGCAGCGAAGGATGCAGAATATCTTTGTGAGGAAGGCCCTGGGTGTGCTTGAACAAGCCCTTAGCCAGCGTGAGGGGATTTTAAGGGAGAAGAAATTTCCCAGCAGAGCAGTGTGCCAGATTAGCAAAGCCTCATTTTGGGGAGTGCTTAAATTTGGAGCAGGTAGAGGAAAGCATAAAAGCTCATTGCAGGAGATGAGGGTGGGCTGCAGGGCTGCACCTACAGAGTGGAGTGGGGGAACTGGCAGAATTCAGATGTTAG